ATATGATTTTTTGATGAAAATATAAATTTCCAAAATTGACTCAATAGGAGATAGAAAAGAATAAGAGAGAAGCTAGACTGCTTCCTAAAATTTGTTCTCTAGGTGATTCTTCTCTATTTTCAAGGTACATATAACCTATGTTTTTATAAAGATGGAAAGCTTACTAACTTACTGCATAAAACATTGTTATATTAATTGATAATATAACCTGACTGTCACAATCAGACAAGGCTCATAAGAAAGGAAATAAGATTCATGATTCTTAGGTTGGTTGGTCAAAACAATCACCCAACATTGTTAATAAAAATGTATATTTCTCGGGTGCCTGGGTGGCTCAGTTGGTTAAGCGACTGCCTTTGGCTCAGGTCATGATCTCAGGGTCCTGGGATCGAGCCCAGCATCAGGCTCCCTGCTCAGCGGGAAACCTGCTTCTCCCTTTCCCACTCCCCCTGCTTGTGTTCCCTCTCTCACTGTCTCTCTCTGTCAAATAAATAAATAAAATCTTTTAAAAAAATGTATATTTCTCATGTGAATTGACTTTGATAATGCAACCAGCAAAATTCAAACTGTGGGAAACCTTGGACAAACAATCTGGTTTCCTTCAAAAGCAAAGAAACTGCTAGGGAAAAAAAAATAGATGGAAAGGAATCTGTAGATTAAATGAGATTTAAGATATATAACAACCATTTTTATAAATCTAATTTGGATCCTCATTTGAATAAACAAACCTTTAAAAATGAATACAGTACTCAATGCCACTGAACACTCGAAAATCGTTAACATGGTAAATTTTATGGATATTTTATGTATTTTAGAATAGGATTATTTAAAAAATACCTGAATATATTAAGGAATTACTGTTTTTGGTGTGATTGTGCCATGTGAGTTACATTTTTTAAAGTATTCTCATCTTTTGGAGATATGTAATGAAATATTTGCAGATGAAATTATATGATGTCTTATATTTGCTTCAGAATAGCCCTTGAGGTAAGAAGATAATGGGGGTAAGATGCAAGAAGATTGGCCATGCATACATCTGGGGTCTCTTCACCTTGTATATGTTAGTAACTGTCCATAATATAAAGTTTAAAAATGCTCATTCCTGAGACCAGCACCAAGAGGTAATATTCAGTAAATTTGGGTTGGATCTCAGGAATATGCCCATCTGTGGAACCTGCTATACCTAAGTGATTCTCATATAGGATGTCCACATGCCTTAACTTGAAAAACATTGCTTTAGACCAGTCTCTCTTTTGACACATAGATGCCAAAACCTTAAATACCATATTGGCAAATAGTGTATTAAAATAATCACATATAATGAATAATTAGTTATTCAAGGAATGCAAGGATTGTTCAAGGATAGCAGTCCTACTAATGTAACCGTTTGTGTCAGCAGAATTTGAGATGAGAATTGAGATGATTAATGCGGCTCTAACAAGCAACTACAGAATCTCAATGGTTTCAGGCGGGACAGTTGCTCACTCACAGGTGGTGTGGGTCCTACAATTCTCCTGAGCAACTCCTCTGGGTGATGACTAGGAATCTGGGCTCTTTTCGTTAGGTTGTCTTCATCATGTCAGAATCCTTTCCCTCCAGGCTTGGGGACTAGGGAGATAGAGTGAGTGATAGCATAGGAGATTTCAGGGCTGAGTCACAGAAATGCACGTAACACTTTCACTCTTGTTCTATTGGCCACAATCCAAGCTCCTGGGCCTAATCTAATTGCAAGGGAAGCTGACTAATGTAGTTTTCCCGTGAACCCTGGAAGAGGAAAATATACCAATGACCGCCCAACCAATCTCTGCCACAGAGATTAAAGGGAGTACTCTATGGGGAAGTTCTCTCACTCCCATATTCCGTATCAGAACTCCAACTCTAATTGCCACCAACTTATGGCATTACTTTCATATCTCTGTTGTCACTTTGAATCTAAGGAAACAGGAAACTGTAACCTTTCAAAAGTTATTAACAAGGGAAAATTCTGTAGTCATCCTGATAGTGGTGATTTAAAGCAAATTCCTCATTTACAGCCAAAACAAAACAACAAAAAATTTTATACTTTTTTCTTTTAGTTTTTATTATTTATCCATTTATTTGATAGAGAGAGAGAGAGAGAGAGAGAAAGCAGGGGAAGGAGGAGAGGGAGAAGCAGCCTCCCCACTGAGTAGGGAGCCCAGTATGGGCTCGATCCCAGGACCCTGAGTTCATGACCTGAGCCAAAGGCAGACACTTAACCAACTGACCCATCCAGGCACACTTAAGACTTTTTTTAAAGCAGTTTTACATTCACAGCAAAAGTGAGTGGAAGGTACAGAGATTTCCAATATACCTCCTGCCCCAGCACATGCATAGTCTCCCCCATTATCAACATCTCCCACCAGAGTGATAGATTTACTATAATTGATGATCCCACATCGATACATTGTAATCATCCAAAGTCCAGAGTGTACATTACAGTTCATCCTTAGTGTTATATTTTCTATGAGCTTGGACAAATGCATGACATGTAACCATCATTATAGTATCATACAAAGTATTTTCACTGCCCTAAAAATTCTCTATGGTCTGCCTATTTGCCAGCCTCCGCCCCTCCCCCCATCCCTGGCAAGCATAGTCTTGTCTCCATAGTCTTGCCTTTTCCAGATTGTCATATAGTTGGGGTCATACAGCATGTAGCCTTCTCAGATTGGCTTCTTTCACTTAGTAATATGCATTTAAGTTTCCTCTGTGTCGGGCGCCTGGGTGGCTCAGTTGGTTAAGTGACTGCCTTCGGCTCAGGTCATGATCCTGGAGTCCCGGGATCGAGTCCCATGTTGGGCTCCTTGCTCAGCAGGGAGTCTGCTTCTCTCTCTGACCCTCTTCCCTCTCGTGCTATCTCTCATTCTCTCTCTCAAATAAATAAATAAATAAAATCTTTAAAAAAAAAAGTTTCCTCTGTGTCTTTTCATGGCTTGATAGCTCATTTCTTTTTAGCACTGACTACTACTACATTATCTGGATATACCACAGTTTATCCATTTACTTACTGAAGGACATCTTGATTGCTTCCATGTTTTGGCAGTGATAAATATTAGACCTGTTATAAACACCTGTGTGTAGGTTTCTGTGTAGACATAGTTTTCACTTCTTTGCATAAATACCAAGGAGCATGATAGCTGGATCATATGGTAAGAGTATGTTTAATTATACAAGAAAACTCCAAACTATCTTCCAAAAGGTATACATTTTGTATTCCCACTGCAGTGAATGAGAGTTCCTGTTACTCCACATCCTCTCAATCATTTGGTATCAGTGTTCTGGATTTTGGCCCTTTTAATAGATACGTAGTTGTCTCTTCTTTCATTTTGCATTTTCCTGATGACATGGATGTAGAGCATCTTTTCATACACTTATTTGTCATCAATATATTCTTTGGTAAGTTGTCTGTTAAGGTCTTTGTCCCATTTCAAAGCAGGTTATTTGTTTTGTTATTGTTGAGGTTTTAGAGTTCTTTGTATATTTTGGATAATAGTTCTTCATCCAATGTGTCTTCTGCAAATATTTTCTTCCAGTCTTTGCAAAGGAGATAGGTCCCTACAGACAACAGTTGCTGCAGTGGCTTTCTGATGCCCAGTGTAGGCTGATAGTAGGACACATTGAAACAGTAGGTCCAGATTCCCCAGTTTCTGGATTGCAGCAGAGAAAGCTCTTCCCTTGGCAGACCAGTTTTCAATGTTGTTTTGGGAGTCATTCCTGGTAGCTCAGCCTATAGTCTTCATTTTTACATCAAGTGTGTTAAGCACTTAATCCCCCAGATTAAGCCTGTTTAAGATAGCTGGAGGGCTTCCTGTTTTTGTGACTGAATCCCAACTGATGTGATTGCTAGGTGAAAAATGCTGGCTGTTGAACATGAGGTCTCCTTCTGATGGCAAAACTAGGTGTGACTCTCCCTGCCCAACCCACTGAAATAACAAAGAAAACTGAGGAGAATGTGCGAGTAGAGGAGGAAGAGAAGTGTTGACCGTCACACTATTAAGTAATCACTCTTCTCTACCACTTCTCTTCCTGCAATAAATTTATAACAAGTAATTACACATATTTGCAAAGGCTTTGGACTGAAGTTCAGCTTAGCATGACAGTTAAGAGCATGTAAACAGGATAATAATAGTACTAACTTGATAAAGTTAAATTAGTTAATATAATGCACTTAAAACAGTGCTTGGTACCATAGTAAGCACTCAATAAATATTAGCTATTATTATGTGTATTCCTTAGTAAGTGTTTAACCTGTGTATGAGAATTTGTTAGCTCAGTGTCTAAATAAACTCTATAGCTATGATTAAGACCTAGTCTTAAATAAAAATAAATTTAAAAGTCAATAACTGAGGCTCCTGGGTGGCTCAGTCGGTTAAGCATCTGCCTTCGGCTCAGGTCATGATCCCAGAGTCCTGGGATTGAGCCCTACATAAGGCTCCCTGCTAAGCAGGGAGTCTGCTTCTTCCTCTGCCCCTCACCCTGCTTGTGCTCTCTCTCTCTCTCATTCTCTCACAAATAAATAAAATATTACGAAAACAAAAAATCAATAGCTAACTCCTTATTCTTTGCAATACCTGTAACACAAATGCCTGTATGAAAAGAGAAATTGGGGGGCGCCTGGGTGGCTCAGTTGGTTAAGTGTCTGCCTTTGGCTCATGTCATGATCTCAGGTCTTGGGGTGGAGCTCTGTGTCAGGCTCCCTGCTCAGTGGGGAGTCTGCTTCTCCCTCTCCCTCTGCCTCCCCCTCCCCCACTTGTGCTCTCTCTCTCTCTCTCTCTCTCTCTCTCTCCCTCTCAAATAAATAAACAGAATCTTAAAAAAAAGAAATTAGCATTATAAGACCATTAATAGTTATTCTATCATTCTTTAAAGTGTCTAATATGTTCTAGCATTACATTCATTGCCCTAAATTGTTACTATATATAGGGATGACCTGAAGACTATGACAATTTTCTTTTTTTTTATTTCATTTTTTTAATTAGAGAAAAGCGGTTACAGGAATGGAAAGCTCTTAGGAAAAAACAAAAATTTGGGGAATTAAGAGAAATTTCTGGAAATCAGTATGTGAATGAAGTCACAAATGCAGAAAAAGATGTATCAGTTATAATTCATTTATACAGATCAAGGTAATTACCATAGCGTTTTTGCAAAATGTTAATATACTAATGTTTTAAGATATTTATGTATGGTTTTCAGGTTTTATAAAGCATATAACAAAGATTATTCAAGAAAAGAAAGCATATATATATATATATACACACATACATATATACATATATAATGTTAAAAAACAGAATCCAACCAAGTAAATTTGAAGACCTAATTGGCTTTATTAAGTGATTAATGAATCAGGCAGCATCCTATCCAGGTAGAGGGAAGTTCCAATGAGTTGTACAAAATGGAAGGTTTTTATAGCAAGGAGGGTGGGACAGGAAGTTATTAGTGAAAGAAAAGAAAGGATTATTCAGGCAAGGTCACCTTCTCTTAGGGGGAATGGGAGGGGAGTTCTTATTAGATTCATTACCTCATCTCAATGGAGAGCTCATGGGACAGATTACCTCATTTGGTACTGACCAGAAAATTCCAGACTGATTGACTTAAAATATCACTCCTGGAGAGGTTGAAACTGAAATTAAGTCTTTGCTGTCCTGGGAGCAAGTAACTCCACCTTGGGCCTTGTGGCTTTCTTTTTAACATATACATACATGTAGAGAGTAATGGGCTTCAGGGATTAAGTTCGGTTTTTTATTAGGTTTTCATGTCTAATTTAAAGAACTTGTCACACTTTTTAGAAAAGTAGCATTCTTTCAGGGTGCCTGACTGACTCAGTCAAAAGAGCATTCAACTCTTGATCTCAGGGTTGTGAATTCGAGCCCCATGTTGGGGGTAGAGATTATTTAAATAAATAAACTTTAAAGAGAAAAAAAAACACTTTTTGGCCATTAATTTTTTTTAATTTATTGTGGAAATTTCAAACATTCAAAAAAGTAGAAATAATGATAAGATGAACACCCTAAATACCAGCTGGGTAGATTCAATAATGAACATTTTGCCACTTTTGTATGTTTTTATTTGTATGTAGCTATGTGCATGTGTATATATTTGCAGAATCATTTCAAATTATACACAGCATACACCTTTATTCCTGAGTACTTCAGCATGCATCTTCAAAATATAAGGGCATTTTCTATATAACCATAATACTGTTTTCTCAACTAACAAAATTAGTAATAATTCCAAAATTAATAATAATTGATGAAGGATCCAGTCAAGGGTCATGCAGTGCATTTGGATAGATCATGTCTTTTAAGTCTCTTTTAACAGAACAATTCCCTTGTACTCCCCTATGCTCCTAAAACAATTTATAGTGCCTACTTGTACTAAGCATAACCCAAATGTCCTCAGACCTTACCAGCCTGGTATATGATAATTGGGTAGAGTGGACTTTTCCCCATCTCTGTGCCACAGAAACACTGCAAGCTCCCAGGGTTTCACAAATCTCTCTAGCATTAGGTCCCAGCTACTCTGCCTGGGCTCCACGCCACTCCAGGAACAGAGGCCATGCCAGTTTCCTCCTTGTGTTCATCTCGTTCTCTGAATAAAAAACTTCTTCTCTCTTCAGGTCCTCACAGAAACTCTGCACAGAGCAATTTATGCAAATTAGAGCCCCGCTGTTTACCAGCTCACCAGTTCCTCAGACAAATTTTGAGAGGACACCACGTCCCATTAAAGAAGACATTACTGTTATTGTAACTAAAATGCTTGGAAACTAATTTTTGAGTAGTTTAAAGCCTTAAAAAGAATCATTTCCTATTTTTCCTATACCACTTACCTGGTTAAACCAATTGGTAAATGCTGCTGATTTTGGTTCCTCACAAGTAAGTATGAGAGACACTGACATTTACAATAATGGGATTTGTGTGTGAGAAATGTTGTATACTGAAGTGATTCACTGAATATCTTTTTCTGGGACCCAGTGTGATTGGCAGAATAGATGTTGGTTCTGAATGCCCATACCACAGCACAAAATTACTTACTTTAATGGTTATTTCTAGAGAAAGGATTAGGTTGGACAAATAATTTTCCAAATATTCATGAAAGAGATCGAATGTGTTATAGTTTCAGCTAGGCTGTTTCAAACTCTCATTTCCTCTGATGGACTCAAAGAATAAGAATCTTCTAAATAATATTTTAAGTATTTGTGACCCCAGAAGATTTTCTGAGGGGCAATCAATCTAAGATAGTTACATAAAATATTCATTTTCTTGACATTAAGAAAATGCATTTATGTGTTGGTATAAAACACACATTTTAAGAAAATTTATAATAAAATTTATACAGCAGAAAATAATTACTTGTGTGACAAATAGTCCTTAGAAAAGTCTAGTTTTTAATAATGGATTGACTCATAACTTTTCATATTGTAGAGTAGAATATAACTGTTAAATATATTTGTGTTTCTATCTGCCTTCTATAAATTTTATAGGAACAAAAGAGTTTTTTTTAAGATTTTATTTATTTGAAAGAGAGCGTGAGAGAGCATAAAGAGGGGGGAGATGCAGAGGCAGAGGGAGAAGCAGTCTCCCCACTGAACAGGCAGCCTGAGGCAGGGCTCCAACCCAGGATCCCAGGATCATGACCTGAGCCCAAGGCAGATGCTTAACGGACTGAGCCAACCAGGTGCTCCAAGAGTTTGTTTTTTAACTCGGTTCCTATGTTCTGTAATTTTAATGTCTTTTTGCCGTTAAAATTATAGAACTTGGCCAACTTTTCATCCAAGTGAAGGCTCAGCTGGCCTAGTGTCCCCTAGAGGGATCGAATCATCCTGGGCCAGTGAGCTTAGTGGCTAAGCTTCCAGGCAGGCTTGATTCTGATTTTATTCAGTCTTACACCTGTGCCCAAATTCCAATTTGGGGTTTTTACATCATTCCTATGCCAAATGTATATTTTGAGCCTTGAATACCATAACTAGGCCCTTATCTCATGTTCTGATGCAGAGGTCTCCCTTATATTTTATAGTTCTTCTGGAGTTAAATTCTGGCCCCTGAACCCCAACACCAAATTTGTTCCCTTACCACTTGCTGTCAGATTGTCTTCAGGCAACCACTTTGTGTCTGCACTAATCACATAATCTGTTACACCATACTCTCTTAATTCTACACTTTTCACTATCACCATCAATGTCCACCTACCTTCTGCCATTCACCCCACCTACCCTGTAAGTGTCCATCATACCACTGACTCAGCTCTCATTCTGACAGTATGATAAAATTCCTTTAAGTTAGATATTAGTGGATTCATTTCACTATTTGAGGAAAATTGAAACTTATAAAGTCAATTTATGTTAATTGCTTTGTGTGGAAAATTGATATTTAAGTTAGGCAGTACATACTTTTCTAATATTAAAGTAGGTCACCCACTAAAATAAAGCAGTATCTAGATTTGTAGTTGGTTGTAATTATGAAAATAAATGATGTTATATATTCTGAAATATAAGTTAAATGTATAATGCATTAAATTTCTTGCTCTATGAATTGATATATAACATTGTCTACTATTAAGAGGATTTCTGAGGATTTTATAGATGCTGGAGATGCAAAGTCTATAAAACGTCTGTCTATGCCATCAATATAGTAGAGAGAGAGACAACTAGACATAATAATAAAGTCTCTTAGGTGCTACAGTTGAATTATGTACACAGCGTGGAAGCACTGAAGAGGGAGTAGTAAGTTTTATGCTTGGAGGAAGGAAGTATGGAACTTTCTACAGAGTATGTAATTCTTGGTCTTGGCCTCAAAAAATAAGATTCCCCAAAGAGGAAGTAGACAGGATTAATGGAGTATGTTAGATAGAGTGTCCAGCTGAAGAAAGATACAGAAATAAGACGGCATTTTGCTTTGGAGAGCTTTAAGTAATATGGTAGCAGGCAGAGAATAATGCTAGAGAGACCACAGAGAACCTTGAAAGCTATACTGAAGAGCCCAGACTTTATCCTGAAGGCAGCAAGGAGCCCTTGAGGAATTTTAAGCTTGAAGGAAGGGCAGTTGTTACCTGGTGAGATTTTCATTTTGAGCTCCCTTTGTCAACAGGATCAAGGATGAATTTGGGAAACCAAGACTGGAAACAGACCCTTAGGATAATCTGATGAAGCTCAGATAAGAAAGGAAAGGAGTAAGGTAATGGAGAAAAAGAGGAGAGGTTAGGTATAAGATAAGGAAGTAGAAGCAATATGATGTGATTACCGATTAGATGTTGTAGAGAATAGGGAGATTTTTGGCCTCAGTGCCAAACTAAGAAAATACAGAAGAAATGTATAACATATACAGATATACATTTTTTTCCTTTGAGGGAGGAGAGGAGATGAAATTCATCAGTGTTGATGTCAGAATGGATAAGATTGCACAGTGAATGTGTCTAGTGTGAGAAGGACACAATCACATAGAACATCTACATTTGAGTCATAGAAGAAGGCAGTCAAAGAACTAAAAAGGAAATTAATAGAAAGTGCTATCGCAGCAGCTCTTCCTGCCCACGGGTCCTGTCCCTGTGCTTTAATAAAACCTCCTTTTTTTTTGCACTGGGGGAGAAAAAAAGTATAATCAAAAAAGCCAAAAAAAGGGAAAACCTTTCAATAAAGGAAGTGAATGGAACATAGAGATTATTTCCCTTTTTATTTGTGCTATGAACAGGAGAGTAGTTATTTGAAGGAGACACAGAGTTGTAAAGAACTTTTAAAAAATTTAGTAACTTAAATATATTTATAGAAAGTGGAGAAGATTGAAAAAAAAACAGGAAAAGAGAGAGCAAAATAACAAACAGAGAAAGGTCCCATGTGAAATGAGTATGGGATGAAATAAAGGATTGGCTCTGAAACAGTTTGATAAGGCTGTGAGTGAATGATAGAGAAAAGGAACTAACTGAAGAGTGGGTATATTGGGAGTGAAACTGACAGAGAGCAGGAAGAATTGTAGGTTCTGGTCACACTTCCAATCAATTTTTTTCAGTTTATTTATTGTTAGTAATCTCTATACACAACATGGGGCTCAAACTTATGACCCCAAGATCAAGAGTCACATGCTCTTCCAACTGAGCCAGTCCGATGCCCCTTAAATATCTGATGGGGAATAGTTCTGGATAATTGGGAACAAGATGCTGCATGGACTGGAATGTCAAAGAAAAGTGTGGGTGAAGTATGTCAGAGTCAAGAAATTCAAGGATGTTTGTGGGGCACCTGGGTTGCTCGGTGGTTAAGCGTCTGTCTTCAGCTCAGTCATGATCCCAGGATCCTGGGATCAAGCCCCGCATCAGGCTCCCTGCTCGGTGGGAAGCCTGCTTCTCCCTCTCCCACTCCTCCTGCTTGTATTCCCTCTCTCGCTGTCTCTCTCTCTCTCTCTGTCAAATAAATAAAATAAAATCTTAAAAAAAAATTCAAGGAAGTTTGAGATGAGACACTTTGGATGTCATATTCTCATGTGGAAATAAGGCCAAGGTGGTGGGGTGATGGAAAGAGTTGGAATCCCTTGTTTCAACGCAGAACTGCCAAGGATTCCCTAGAAGTGTGCTGTGTTGTTTTGTTTTTCCTGGGTCCTATAAACTGGGAACTAACTTGATTAAATTGATGCTAAGTCAGATGTAGATAGCCTTAGTTAGGCATCAAATTCCATGATAACAAGCTTCACTCCCAGGCTATAATAGTGTTTACAATAAATATGGAAGGACTCTGAAGTTTATCATTACTAAAGGTAACAAGAGAGGATGAGAGCTGATAAGCTGTTATATCAAAAGAATATCCGAAGAGGGGCACCTGGGTGGCTCAGTTGGTTAAGCTTCGGGACTCTTGGTTTCCACCCAGGTCTTGATATTATGGGTCAAGGGATTGGACTCTGCACTCAGCAGGGAGTCTGCTTGAAGATTCTCTCCCTCTGCCCCTCCCGCCCCTCACACACCCTCTTTCTCTTTCTCAAATAAATAAAATTAAAAAAAAAACCCATATCCAAAGATACATTTTTTTGTCATGGGGATGTTTCACTTACTTCATTAGACTGAGATAAGTAGTCTGCTTTTAAAGATATTGTGTACTGTTTCTCTTTTTAGCATCCCAATGTGTTTGTTGGTTAACCAGCATCTTAGTCTCCTAGCAAGAAAGTTTCCAGAAACTAAATTTGTTAAAGCCATCGTGAATAGCTGTATTCAACACTACCATGACAATTGTTTACCAACAATTTTTGTTTATAAAAACGGTCAGATAGAAGGCAAATTCATTGGAATTATAGAATGTGGAGGGATAAATCTCAAGCTGGAAGGTAATGATATTATTTTTAAAATGTTTATTTAAAAAAACAGGTGAAGACTTCCATAAATTAACAAGTATCATGAAAGTTTATTTCGATAAAACATAAGGTGTTTTCCCTCCCTTCTAGTCTCTTCTTGTATGCCTCCAGATTAATTTTCCTAATAATAGTACTCTTATTACAACATCTACTTGCTTAAATCCTTAATGGTTCCTTGTGTGAAATAAGTTAAAAATACAGAATCTTCTGCTTGAAAATTTCAGCCCACCTATCCAACTATATTACTCAATGCTTTCTAGTTTCTGCTCCAGCCAAGCTGTTCTTCAACCACTACTGCAGAAACCCCTTATTCACTTATGCCTTTATTCTTTGTCTCATACTTGTTCCCTGTACCCAAAATACTCTACCATTCTTTATTCTCTCTCTCATACCCTATTTTTTTGTGGTTCTCCTAGGCTTCCATTTCTCTCATTATGTCATTTTGGACCAGTTCATAATCTTGTCTTCCTCTTCTCTACTAAATTTCTATAGCATATTTTCTCTATACAATTTATTTTTCACTTGTCCACGTACTATCTGATTTTGTCAGTTAATTCCCTTTATTTTCTTTTTTCATAGCACAGTATTTATAATTTTAACTTCTTTAATAATTTTTACTTGCTAACCTACTTCTAAGGCCATATCCTTGATCTAGTCATTTCTTGGAACTGCTTTAATCTATATTATTAAAATCTTCTCACACCATCATGTGAAAGCCATTGAACCTCATCCTTTTAATTAAAAAAATTAATACATAAGAGTACAAACAATAATATAGCAAACATTCATGTAATTGATTACTGCCAAAAATAACAAATGTGAGCATTTATTCATTTGCTTGAGCTATTTGTTTGTTGTTCAAATAAACATTACAGATATGGTTGAAGTTATGTATAGTTTCATTCCTAGTCCCATTCCCCTTCCTGTCTCCTTACAGACAATCACTATGATGAATAGTGTATTACCTGGTCCATGTTTTGGGGGGGGGTTGGTGTTTTTTTGTATATTTAAACAATTTTTTAAATTGTTGTAAAATACACATAATATGAAATTTATCATCTTAACTACTTTGAACTATAGTTACCATGCTGTACATTACATACCCAGGACTTATTTATTTAACCATTTTTAAGTATATAGTTCAGTTGCATTAAGCACATTCATATTGTTGTGCAAGCATCACCACTATCCATCTCTAGAACTCTTTCCGTCTTGCATAACTGCAACTCTATACTCACTGAATGATAGCTCCCCATTCCCTTCTCCTCCAGTCTTGGCAAGGTTTCTGACTCCATGAATCTGACTACACTCAATACCTCATATAAGTGAATCATACAGTATTCTTTTGTGACTGGCTTATTTCACTTAGTATAATGTCCTTAAGTTTCATTCATTTTATAGCATCTGTCAGAATTTCCTTCCTTTTTTTAAAGATTTTATTTATTTATTTGAGAGAGAGAGTACATGAGGCGGGGGGAGGGCCAGAGGGAGAAGAAGACTCCCCGCCGAGCAGGGAGCCCAATGCGGGACTCGATCCAGGGACTCCAGGCTCATGACCTGAGCCGAAGGCAGTCACTTAACCAACTGAGCCACCCAGGTGCCCAGAATTTCCTTCCTTTTTAAGACTGAATAATATTCCATTTTATGTTTGGACCACATTTTGTTTATCCATTCATCTGTCCATGGACACTTGGGTTGCTTCTACCTTTAGGCTTTTGTAAATCATGCTGCTATGAACATAGGTGTACAAATAATCTGTTCTAGTCCCAGTCTTTTGGGTATGTATTTGGAAGTAGAATTGCTGGATCATATAGTAATTCTATTTTAAGTTTTTGAGAAACAGCATACAGTTTTGCATAGTGGCTGCCCCATTTTACACTCCCACCAACAGTGCACAGAAGTGCCAGTTTCTCTACATCCTCACCAACACTTGTTTACTCTGTGTGTGTGTGTTTTGTATAGTAACAATCCTAATGTATGTGAGGTGTTTTCCCCACTGATTTTTAATGTTTCCTAATGTCATTTTTCATGGTTCCAAAAATGCTTCAATTTATTTCTGAAGTCTTTACTATTTGTCTGTCCCTGAATCAATACAGCACTGCATTTATTACTACAGCTTTATAACAAATCTACAGTTGTCTCCAGCAGGGCAAATCTTTTTCAGAATTTCATGTGAATGTTGGAATTAGTCCACTTACATGAAAAATCCTGTTGATTATTAGAATCATATTTATAGATGATTTGTTGGAGCCTTGGTATCCAATAACAGTGGAAGTTCCAATTCATGAATGAGATATATCTCATCACTTATCTTGGTCTTTTGTTTTTTGTAATTTTCCTCAGAGATATATATTTTACATTTTGTAACATATTTTATAATTTTCCTCAGAAGTGTGTTTTGTAATTTGCCTCATAAATGTTCTGTTCATCCATACGGTACTTAGGAATAAATTTAACAAAATTATGAATTTATAGGGACTGGGGTTTTGGATTATCAGTTCAATTCTTTTGGTTTCTCTCTCAGATATATTTTGGTAATTTATATTTTTGTTAAAATTTTCCCATTGAAGTTTTCACATGTCTTGGTATAACTTTTTCATAGTGTCATAGCCATATTAGAATCTTTACCTTGGTTACGTCCCATGTAAATTCTTTATATGAATTGATTTCTTTCCTTTTGTGATCATTTTTGCTGAGGTATGTCTATTAGTTTCTTCAAAGAATGAGCTTTTGATTTTGTCGGTCACCTATACTGATTTTGTTTTTCTATTTTTGCTAATAAGTCTTTTCTTCATTATATTCCTCTTTCAGCTTTTCTTGGGTATACTTTATTGTTCTTTTCCTAGCTTCTTGATTTGAACTTTTAAGCCACTTATTTTTAGTCAATTTAAAATAAACATTTTAGCCATAATTTCTCCCTTTAAGTATAACTTTGTTGTATCCAATATGTGTTTTGATATTGCAGTACTTTCATTGTCACTCAGTTGTAAATATATCCTCATTTACACATTAATTTTATTAGCATCAATTACTATTTCACATAGATGAGGAGTTATTTTCATTTTCCAAGATTTTTATCTGATTTAATGATGGGTTATTTATTGCAGAACTTGAATGGAAACTAGCAGAAGTTGGAGCAATACAGACTGATTTAGAAGAAAACCCCAAAAAAGGCATTGTAGATGTGATGGTATCTTCAATTAGAAACACTTCTATTTATGATGACACTAGTAGTTCAAACAGTGATAATGATGATACCAAATAGAAATATTTAATAAATAGCTGCAAATTATTTACTGAATGTTTTTCACTGCCTTTGTAATCAGAGATCAGAAAATTTATGGATTTATTTTCATATTTATATTAGAATGATAGCTTATATATCATTTAAAAAACTTTCAGGTATTTCAGAATATTTATTGCCTCCAACAAAAGCCGAGTTTGTACTGAACCCTTAATATTTTTCTGTGGTTTATCCTCTTTTTGACCCATGTTGGATAAGAGCACCAATATTACAAGTCCTCTGTGTTGCTTACTCCCAAAGAGGCCTATGAATGAATATAATGAAAGATGACCATGAAATTTCATTTCATTTACATCAATAGATTTTATTTTTATTTTCTTCTTTTTCTTATTTTTTTAAAAGATTTTATTTATTTATTTATTTGACAGAGAGAGAGAGAGAGCACAAGTAGGCAGAGAGAGAGGGAGAAGCAGGCTTCCTGCTGATCAGAGAGCCAGATGCGGGGCTTGATCCCACATGACCTGAGCCAAAAGCAGCCGCTTAACTGACTGAGCCACCCAGATGCTCCTATTATTATTATTTTTTAAGTAGGCTCCACACCCCATGGGGGGTTTGAACTCATGACCCTGAGATTAAGTCACATGCTCTACTGACTAAACCAGTCAGGTGCCACTATATCAATAGATTTTAAAGTCTATTATTTAGGGGCCTTGAGTGAAAATACTTAAATTTATGACCATACATTTTTTGCTGGAAACCTCTTACCTGTTAAAAAAAAATTAACCACTCAATAGAAAAATACAATTTAAGGATTCTGAAAAGTACATAAGAAACACCTGTACTGGGCGCCTGGGTGGCTCAGTTGGTTAAGCGACTGCCTTCGGCTCGGGTCATGATCCTGGAGTCCCGGGATCGAGTCCCACATCGGGCTCCCTGCTCAGTGGGGAGTCTGCTTCTCCCTCTGACCCTCTTCCCTCTCATGCTCTCTCTCATTCTCTCTCAAATAAATAAATAAAATCTTAAAAAAAAAACACCTGTACTCATTATTATTGTTTTTAATAGTTCTTTTTTTTATTTTTTTAAAGATTTTATTTATTTATTTGAGAGAGAGAATGAGATAGAGAGCATGAGAGGGGGGAGGGTCAGAGGGAGAAGCAGACTCCCCACTGAGCAGGGAGCCCGATGTGGGACTCGATCCCGGGACTCCAGGATCATGACCCGAGCCGAAGGCAGTCGCTTAACCAACTGAGCCACCCAAGTGCCCTGTTTTTAATAGTTCTGTTATGAAGTTAGAAAATTACTAAGTACTCTCACTGATAGACTATAGAATCAGAAGCACATGATATGTAAAGTTTTGTTTTTTTTTACAAGTGTGATTTATTTTATTTATTTGAGAAAGAGAGAGAATGAGAGAGAAAGAGTATGAGGGGGGGAGGGTCAGAAGGATAAGCAGACTCTCCACTGAGCAGGGAGCCTGATTCAGGACTCAATCCCAGGACTCCAGGATCATGACCTGAGCCAAAGGCAGACGCTTAACTGACTGAGCCACCCAGGCACCTGACATGTGAAGTTTCTAAATCAGAAGTGATATATTGTGAGGCTTACCCATGTTTTAATACTAATCACAGAGGAATTCATCATGAAAAGGTATACAATAGGGCGCCTGGGTAGCTCAGTTGGTTAAGCGACTGCCTTCGGCTCAGGTCATGATCTTGGAGTCCTGGGATCGAGTCCCATATTGGGCTCCCTGCTCAGCGGGGAGTCTGCTTCTCCCTCTGACCCTCTTCCCTCTTGTGCTCTCTCTCATTCTCTCTCTCTCAAATAAATAAAATCTTTAAAAAAAAAAAGAAAAAGTATACAATATTAGGACATTGCAGAAGACCTACAGGATGTTTTATTTTGGCTTAGTAATGAACAGCACTTTTAGAGAAAGGGGTGGTAAATCCAGCATGTAATAGTTCAATAACATTTTATTCTTCTACTTTGTTTGTATTGAAGACCCATCATTCTGATTGCAGATGTTCACTGATGTTTGTGAGAGAATCTAGACTACGTTTAAATGATTAAATTACAAACATAAATTGGTGAGAACTGAGACAGTCAACATGGAGTCAAGAAAAGACTGCTGCTCTTGGGGGTGGGGGGATAGGAATCATAGAGGCGGCAGACAATGAGGAAGTGGGAGGAAAGTTAAATACAGATTTGAATACGGTAACCAGGTAAGATAAAACCAAATGATCTAACTTTGCAAAGGATCAGGAAGATCCCTTTCCTCTGAGATAGCTAAGAAGGGTAACATACATCTTGGGATGAAGGGAGGGAAAGTTGAGGGTTGCATAAGATGGTCTTTTTTTATAGTATTATGGACACATGTAAGAGAAATAATAACCTATACTGGTCCAACCCCTAAAGTTCTCTTTAACAAATGGATGGATATGTTTCTAAATAGGATAAAAGTTGTGGAAATGAAAAGCCATATTATAAAGTTAAAATGTAACTTTAATATCATGTAATGCATATAAATACAAACATTATCATATCTCGTTAAAACCAAATGCAAAAAGTCCCCCTAATTGTAATTTTTTTAGTAAATACATATTTATTTTCTTTTTTTAAGTTAAAATTAACAGAGGAAGTATCATAGTATTTAAGATACCTGAATAAAAAGATATATATTTCCCTTCTAACTCTTAACTCAAATCCACCAGGTGGCAGTAAGTTTTTATTCACAAGAACAGTTCATGAAGACTTTAACATTTGTAAAAATCATAAAATTATAGCATGTTTTAAGTGGCTGTGATTCCAGTCAGTCTTTTTCAAACGATGTGTGTGCACACATGCCCAAACACGCACATTATTCCGTCAAGTCTTCACACCTGCCATTGTAGGTCAGTATTACTCCCATAGTTATTTCATTTACACATTCCCATTTCAGTAGGGTATAAATATTCGTCAGAATGCAGAGAAATTATTTAATATTTGTTTTCCATTTTATTGAATGATTTTTATTTAATGGTATACAAACTTAAAAGTTTTTTTTAATTGCCAATATTCAACAGTTTTGGACCTATTAAAAATGGATATTTCATATATCCCAACCTAATATTTTTCTCTATTCCTTGCTGCCCAACCATGCAATTTCCTTCCCTACTTTACAGTGCCTTGTTTGTCAAAGTATGGTCCTGGAATTTGCAGCATCCCTGGAGGCTGCTTAGAAATGCAGAATCTCAGGCCCCATCCCAGACTAACTGAATTAGAATTTTTGTTTTAATGAGATCCTTAGGTGATTGGGCAGCACTCAATATCAAACCCCTTAAAGATACCTTGTATGCATTCTTTAACTCTTCCTCCACACTCTTGGTTATTAAGAGTTATCGTATTTCACTATTTGATTTGTTTATCTCCCTTTTGTACTTTAAAACACATTATTAAGGCTAATGCTTTGATAGGATTATAATCTGCCACCTGCATTCATAATCTAGGATATAAAGATAATCCTAAAAATCTTCTTTCTAGCATGTTTTACCTTTCATGTATTCATTCATCCATTCATTCATTCACCTCAGGCACTGAAACAGATGCTGCAAATTCAGTGATGGACAAAACACATAGTTCTTGCCTCTTGGAGTTTACCATGTGATGGTGGGGATGTTAGTTAATAAGAAAACAAGTGTCAAACAAATATACATGTAACTTAAACTTAGTATTATGGAGGAAACAGTGGGCACAACAATATGCAGTAACTGTGGGTACTCTGGGGGGGGCGGGGCAGCAGAGAGGTAGGAGAGAGACCTACTTAAAAATTGGGTAGTTAGAACTTTGAGACATGAAGACTGAGGAGCCAGCCATGAGAAATTGTAGGAAGGTGGTTCAGGCAAGGGCACAACATGTGCCAATGCCAGAGAATAAAGAGATTAGCAAGGAATTGAAGGAAATTTCTAGGTGGGAGTGTTATGGGCAAAGGAGAAAATGGAGAACATGAGATTGGAGAGAGAGCAAGGGCTAGATGAAACAGTATCGTGACCATGATTAGGAATTTGAATGAAATGGGGAACAAAAGGGTTTCAAGTAGGAACATGTGATTTCATTCATATTTCCAAAAGAATATTCATGCTGCTCTGTAGAGAAAAGATTGAAGGGGACATGCAAGATATTTGAGATACCCAAGAGGAGACATCAGGTAGGCAACTGGACATACATGTATGGAGCCCAAATGAGAGGTGTAAGGCTGGAGTTAAAATTTATGAGTCATTTCAACCATTCCTAGGTTCCAACAATGAATTGTAAACATCTAAAACCACCATTCCTTACCACATAACCTTTATGTAGCAGTTTATAATTTACATTTGATCATCACAATTCTGAGATGCTTATTCTTCTACCTTTACAGATAAATGCTCTGAAGCTCAGAGAAATTATTTAACTTGTTCAGTGTCTCTTAGTTTATTATTAGCCAGGATTTAAGCCCAGACCTTTGACTACAAAGTCTGTAATACCACCTCATATTATTGTACTTCCCTCTATTTTAAAGGGTCTAGAAACAGTATTAGTAATTGGCTAAACCATGGAGATTTCTTAAACAAAACAAAACAAAACAAACCCCCACAGGGGCGCCTGGGTGGCTCAGCCAGTTGGGCGGCTGCCTTCTACTCAGGTCCTGATGGGGTCAAGCCCCATGTCGGGCTCCCTGCTCAGTGGAGAGCCTGCTTCTCCCTCTCCCTCTGCCTGCTGCTCTACTTGTGCTCTCTTTCTGTCAAATAAATAAAAATCTTTAAAAAAATAAAAAAAACCCCCACAAACTTTCCTTATATTCCCTATTATACATATCTTAAATTTCCTATGTTCCAATTTACTTTATAATGGTGAAACTAGTAATGCTAATGAAAGGATGGATAAGAGAGGTATTATGAAAGGACACACAGGATTTTGTAACTGATGGGACCCAGGAACTAGGGGAAGAATTTGAGCAAGAGACATAAGAATTACACAAAAGGGATATCATTAATAATAGCCAACACTTAGGAGCAACTGGCTGGCTGAGTCGTTAC